AAAAAAAAAAAAAAAGTAAAATTAAAGTTGAGGCACGTAATACTTACGTTCTTTCTCAGAACAAATTTGCCTTTGTTGACACCAAACGCCTCTATGATGTAGGAAAAAACAATTATAAAACTATAGTTTGATAGATCTTGACTAAATTTTGTATGGCTAAATATTTAATTCAGGAAGAATTAAATTGTGTAAAAAAAATTACATTCCGAGTAGATTGTTGATATCCGAATCGAGTCGTGAGGGCCCACAGATCATGAATGATGATTCGGGAGAAGACGACCCAGATATCGAATCGACATTCAAATATCAAGAGGTTCGAACTCAGGAAGTCCAATCTGAATGAAAGATAAAGTTGTTTAGAATATCGCAGAGGGTAGATCCCCAAGACGGCACTAGAGGACCCAAGAGACGAGGTCGACTTCCACAAACGCCGAACAGGGAAAGGAGACCTCAAAGACCTATAAGAATGGGTAGCCCAAGTCACAGTGGGAGACCGACCTGCAGATTCGTCCAGACCGGTCTTGGCATGCACGTAGGACCTGGAAATCATATAATATTGTCACTTGTCTGGTGGTGATTGTTGATGGACGCGCCACCCTAGACTGTCACCCTAGTACACCTGGATCCGTAAGGTGGCCTGTCAGCATTAAATGCACCGCGTGAGTGCATTGAATGTCTGACATGTAATCATTGATAAAACATCATACCTCATTTAATGCTTGTCAGAGCAACGCCAGCCTGTCATTCCGAGTTACTGTATGAACTGACATGGTGAACAGTGGATGAACGGTGTCAGACTCAAGTTACTATAAATAGGAATTCACTTTCATTTATTAAGGGTTGTTGATTTCTCCACCAACTTTATCTCTCTCTCACTTTCTACATTTATTCTGTAAAAGGTTTGTAATTATCCCAAGTGTAACAAAAAAGCCGACCTCGATATCAGATGTCAATCTTGTAATTGATGTAATAAAGTTAGTTTGCTTCATATCTCCATTCGTTCTCATACTTACATATCAACAATCTTTACTAAATTATTATTTAACCGTTGACCGATTATGATCGTCAATATAGATCTCGTGGAATATTTATTTTCTTAAAATTGACTTTCGGTGAGTGAGAAATAAATGATTAAAGTTAGGCATAAATGAGCACCTAATACGATGTTTGTGGGATAGGGTAAAAAATGTTTCCCACATTAGACTCTTAAATGATATTAACTCTCTTTAATATAATAAAGAGAGTTAAAGAGGTCACAACAATAACATAATTATGCACAAGGTGTGGTTTTGGCTTCGGCATGCGCGCTTACGCGTCTGCCTGGGCCTGATATGAGACTTGATACTTGACAATTGTATTTAATGCAAGTGTGAGCGTCCTGGTCCGGTTTGGGATAGATCGATTCTTGTCCTCGCCGGTAGAACGCCGAAAACCTGCAAAAAATTCTCACATCGGGGGTTGTGTCTGGTGAAGAGCCTCCGATACTTAAGTCAGTATGTGTATGAGTATACTGGAGTTGAATAATAGAAAAATCGTATTAAGGAAGAAAGACTCACCCCCTTTATATAAGAGTGAGATACCTGACCTAAGGCTGCCCGGATTTGATGAGCTGGCTGCCCAAGCTGCCCGTCCGTACTCTGACACACCGCACACATGTCAGAGGTGGCGCGGGACGTTGGGAGCTGTCAGAGGTGGTTATCGCTATCAACCACTAAGTTCTCGACACGTGTCCTCCTGCACATGGGGTGAATATTCTCCTGAAATTCCGTTAGAGGATCTTTCATGCGCCTGTGACTAGGCCGATCTATGAAGTGTTACCGGTTGAGGTCGATTGAACTGCTCGATCGTTCACCTGGTCGAATGGTAGATTGGTCGACTGCTCAACTGGTCGATTAGTTGGTTGGTCGATTTTTCTGCCTCTTGGCTTGGTTTCTTCACGGTATGGCCTCTTCGACCGGTTCAACAGACAGATTTAGCCTTGTGGGTATAATATCCTATATCAGTATTGTTGGCTGGACTTGCGGCCTTGGATAATCTGCGCCGGTATTAGGCTTGGGCCTTGGGCCCAACCACTTTTTATCTTTTTGTTGCAATTTTATTGACAAATTTGTGGCCTAGATTAAATCTACTCAATTGTGCTCAATTTTCGACTCCAATCAAGTTCGTCGGAGCTCGAAAGCTAGTGTGCTACAGCCTTCGAGACGCCAGTCGTTGTATCTTCGGGGACAAAATTTCATAGACCCGCTGGCAATACATTGGGTTTTAAATAAATGATAATCGATTACCGTTTTAAATGAGTCGGTACGGTTCGGTTGTTTTCTCGTCGGTTCCGTTTGATTTGATTCGGTTTTCGGTAAAAAAATGTCAGCCCTAGCTTATTTGTCTTGCGAAAAAATTTCAATCGCCTTGGCTTTAGTCTGTCCACGGTAAACTAGTACTTTTGTTTTCTTTTTTGTAGTTCAATTGTAAGAATTAGGACTGAGCATGGGACACGGAGAATTCTCAACCGTTCCGAAAACTGAACCGAAATCACCCGAATTGAAAAATAACCGTTGACCGCTTGACTTTCTCCTAATCGGACCGAACTGAAAAATTAATTGGTACGGTTCTGGAGATTTCACAAATATCCGTAACGAGGATCGAACCGAACCCAACCGTCTCATACCGTACCGAACCGAAGAACCGAATTATAACACTAGATGTGTTATTAATATATTTTATGTCAATTTTGATTCTATATAATATTGTAATAACTATTAACCTTCTCTACAATTGATTTTTTTTTTCTATTATAAAATAATTATTTAAAATAATATGAACGGCAAAGGCTAAGAATATTTTCTTAGAAAAAAATATTATATTTTGTTCGAATTTTATATTTTCAATATTAGTTGCACAAATTTAGTCTTAACTAAATCTTAGAGTTATTTCTAAAGTTGATTTCAAAATAAAATCTTTAATATGAGGAAGTATTGATGAATGTTGGTTTTATTAAAACATATAAAAATTAAATAAATAAAATTTAGAGTTACTTCTAAAATTGATTCAAAATAAAATCTTCAATATGATGAATTATTGATGAATGTTGTTTTTTAAAGCATATAAAATTAAAATATAACTAGGTAGTTATTAAAAAAAATTACAAAAATAAGAATCTCCGAAGATCCGAACCAAACTATACTGAACCGAACCGTCCCAATAGTCCCGAATACCGAACCGAAAAATAAAAATTTCCGAACCGAACCGAACCGACTTTTTGGTGCGGTTCCAGAGATCAAATTTTGAGATCTCCAAATTTTAATACGGTTCCAGATATTTATCAATCTCCGAACCGTATGACCCATGCTCACCCCTAGTAAGAACTGAATTATTCATCTTCAAATTTATAGGTTTCTCGTTGTATTCGGAACACGTATTTGTAACAAAGAATATGTGATGTTTATAATTTCTAACAATACCACAGAAGCAGCATTGATGTTGAAAAGGAAAAAATAAAACTTCAAAATTCAAATCTTACCCCCATATGCTATATACAACTCAGTGCAATATAGTAGAGTTATTTAAAATCGGATTGAAAGGTACCACATTACCATGCCCACACCATTACCTCAAGGATAGAAGTCATATTGAATTCACTTAAACTTCTTTGATATTATGAACTTCAACCACTAGCTGCTGCATATTTTAACAAAAACCCCAAACATAATGAAAAAATATTTTTATGTTAACTACATTATTTTGATAATGTTTATACTAACAGATTTGACTCAACTTATATGTAATTTTAAAGACTTATAAAATTTTTTATTATAAATTTAAAAAACAACCAAAACATAATATAGTTCACTAGAATTAAAATATTGTCATTCCAAATAATATTGCTAACCCTACAGCCATGAGCAGGATACCAAAAAAAAAATATAAATAAACACATAATATCCATGCACCACCACCACCAATCAAAATCCTCAGAAAAACTAATTCATGAATATACTCAAACTACAAAAGTCAACCCACACATAGAAACTAAGTTCAAACATAAAAAAAGAAACTCCTCAGAAGGACTGTATCATTTGCAGAGCCATCATTCACTAAAACATGCCCAATCACACATCCACTGTACATCCATTTGTTCATGAACTCAGATTTAGAACACAATAATCTTTCTGAAAAAAGACCTTAAACTTTTATCTGATTTCATGCACATAGCAGCCAAACTCTTCGAAACCAGAAAAGGCAGAAAATGACCCCACACGACTTACCAGTTTAGAAACACTTCCTGTGAACAATTGCAGGACCAGATTCATCATACTCCCCCTTTGCAATCCACATCTGCAGAATAATAAAATGTATTAGCAATAGCATGCATGACGGGGTATCATACTGCCAACTGTTTCAGCATACACAAAACCACAAATTAACAAAGCAAAAGTACGAATCGAGTCACATAATAAACAAGAAAAGGGAACCGACACACACCTGCTGGAAAGTACTGAGAGAAGCTAGGATAGATCCTCCAATCCAGACACTGTACTTCCTCTCAGGCGGGGCCACTACTTTTATCTTCATACTGCTCGGAGCAAGAGCTGTTATCTCCTTGCTCATACGATCTGCAATCCCCGGGAACATGGTGGACCCCCCACTAAGCACCACATTTCCATAAAGATCCTTACGGATATCAACGTCACACTTCATGATGGAATTATATGTGGTCTCGTGAATTCCAGAAGCTTCCATCCCGACCAGCGACGGCTGGAAGAGGACCTCCGGGCAGCGGAACCTCTCGTTCCCTATGGTGATGACCTGCCCGTCGGGCAGCTCGTAGCTTTTCTCCACAGCTGAGCTATTCTTAGCAGTCTCGAGCTCCTGGTCGAAGTCAATGGCAACATATGCAAGTTTCTCCTTCACGTCACGAACGATTTCCCGTTCGGCAGTTGTTGTGAACTTGTAGCCTCTTTCGGTCAAGATCTTCACAAGATACTCGGTGAGATCACGGCCAGCAAGGTCCAGACGCAGGATGGCGTGTGGGAGGGCGTAGCCCTCGTAAATAGGGACAGTGTGGCTCACCCCATCACCAGAATCAAGCACTATACCTGTTTGCGAGGAAAAAGATAATAGATGATTTACAAGAAAGTTACATAGAATATCCTGAGTATCAGATGTCTGAAAAAAAGAACATAAACTTGGAAAGTTACAAAAAATGACTCGACTCTCGATGTCTCCTTCCACTTACATTTTTCCCTCAACGTTGGTTTACTTGATAAAAGTTGTCGACATGTAATTATTTTAGAATCAAACTTCTAAAACTTGCATTATATCATAACAAGCCCAACCATTTTCTTGGCTATTCGTTGTACTTGAGGGATGGACATGTAATAAGATTAAGTTTTGAGCTCTTGCTTTTAGAAAGGGTAAGGGATGTACAAAAGACAAATGTAATGCTCAAGAGTGTTTTTCATAATAATCTAATGTATGTATATAAATCACAAAACCGAACTAAGTGAGCGACCTTGAGATAGGAACATCTACTTAAAATTGCACCCATACCAGTTGTTCGCCCACTGGCATAGAGGGAAAGGACAGCCTGGATAGCAACATACATAGCTGGCACATTGAAGGTCTCAAACATGATCTGAGTCATTTTCTCTCTGTTGGCCTTTGGGTTGAGAGGTGCTTCTGTGAGCAGAACCGGGTGCTCCTCAGGAGCCACACGGAGTTCATTGTAGAAAGTGTGATGCCAGATTTTCTCCATGTCATCCCAGTTGCTGACTATACCATGCTCAATTGGATATTTCAGTGTCAAAATACCTCTTTTGGATTGAGCCTCGTCACCAACATAAGCATCCTTTTGCCCCATCCCAACCATCACACCCGTATGCCGTGGACGACCAACAATACTTGGGAAAACCGCTCGCGGGGCATCATCACCAGCAAATCCAGCCTGTAGCATATAGAAAAAATAAAATTCAAGCAGCTTTGCCACTATTGCGCTTATCTCATACAAAACAAAGACATAAATAAACTCAATAAACGTTAAATGAAAGCCTTACCTTGACCATTCCAGTACCGTTGTCAACAACAAGTGGTTGAATATCCTCTCCATCAGCCATTTTATGTTATTTTCTGCAGAACAAAGAGCAGAAGTGATCTGATTCAGCTACAAAGAAATAATTGAGAAAAACAGAAACAGGCCAAAGATTATCGTGAAACAGAGAGTCATTATAAACACATGCTTCACCCAATGTGATCATTGACGGCGAATTACATGAATTACAGCTGCTCAAGCTTCTCACAAGAAACAGGATGGTAATGGCCTTTGCTTTAAAGACTTCAATATGTGATACACAACAGGCTTTGACACAAACACACCCATTCATTTTCAGTTAGAGAAATAGAAACAATACAGAGAAAGGACGACCAACCAAACAGTCATACAATGAAGAACAACAAAAGGGTATCACCATGTGAAAGGCCCCAAACGGCTTCCATTAACATCACACATCGAGATAACATCAATACAAAGATTGCAAGAGCTTTCCGACTGTGCGCCTGTATCGACTAGGATCAGAAAAGGGCTCCCCCTCAATTGGCAACAACTTCAATTTGTTAGTTGAAGCTCTAAAAAGGAAATGGCAATTATTTCACTGCTTCACCCGACCAAATTTAAATTTAATACCACCAAAAAAGTACTTTCTTACCAAAAATCTTCCAAAATTAAAGGCCAACGCACTTGATAAAATCAATTCAAAACTTCAACCTCTTTCACAACTAATTATTCATGCCACTCTCATGTCCACACAGATCGAAGTGTATTTCCTCCATTGAACAAGATCACAGTTTAAGACGATTCAAAAAAACAAGCAAAAGCCCATAGTAATTCATAATTCAGTCAGTAAATTCACAGGACGATGACCCATAACCATTACCAACAAATGAACAAGCTATTTAGTACAAAAACTATACAAGCTTCCATAAATCCAGATCCAGAAACCAACATAAACCTTGAAGAGCTATAAACAATATAATCGGAAAAGAAGAAGAAAACTTTAAAATTTTCAGATTTTGATCACCTTCGCTGAAGCAAACTAGGCTGCTTTGCTGAGGAGTGCGTTTCAAAAATCAAAAGAATTACAGAGAGAGGAATGGTTGAGAAGGCAGAGAGATGAGAGAGAGAGGGGATCCCTATATATACTCTGCTACAAACGCGTATTAGGGTAATAAAATAAAGGAAATTGCTACATGTACATAATAAATATAAATAGAGGTGTACATAACTCTCACATGGAGTATGATCCACTTAATTTTTTATTTTTGGTGGACCCCACTTAATGTGAGTATTATGTACACTCTTAGAAATGCTCCCCTACCCACGGTGGGCACATGTTAATATACCCACCGCGTAGGTGACATCCACTCATTGGTGATGTATTTTTTTAAACATATTAACATCACCAATGAGTGGATGTCACCTACGCGGTAGGCATATTAACATGTGCTCAATGTGGGTAGGTGAGCATTTCTCTGTACACCCTTGTGTACACGTACTTGTAGCATTACTCTAAAATAAAATGACCTTGAAATGAAATGCAAATGAAATGCGCCTCATACATGACGTCACTAGCCATATAAACAGTACTACTTTTGATTCTGGTTGGTGAGATTTTGATTGAAATTGGAAGAAAATAAAGAGAAAAAAAGTCATTTTTTTAATGATTGATGTCTAATATCTTTTTGAATTTCAAAAATCTTATTTTTTAGCTTTTTCCCTTCTCAATCTTATTAAAAAAGTCATATAAGTGAATTATGATGATTGGATATATGATGATTGGATATAAGAGGTTAGCGGTATTTTAAGTTTATATTAAAATAATATAAATTGATTTTTCTTCTCAGCTTTTGATTTTGTTTTTTTTTTTATAGTTGTTAATGGTATGTTAAGTTTATATTAAAATAATATTTAAAATAAATAAATTAAAGTTGATTTGATATAAAATATGTGATAGATGATGTGAAATAATAGTTAGTTAAAATTATGTGAGTGAATGAAAAGTGAATTAAAATTGAGGCAAGCTGTAAGAATGACTGAGTGATATTATTTAATTATATTAATAATACTGAGAATTGGTTGAGTTAAAGTTGAGTTAGATTTGAATTAAAAAAATAATTAGTTAAAAGTGATTGAATTGCGTTTGAAAAAAAAAATTGTATAATGTTTTGTTTTGACCAATTTCATTAGAGGCCATTTTTACTAATATAATACAAATTATTTCTTTTTCCTATCTTAACCATAATAAATAGCAATTATTAAAATATTATAGTGTATTTGTAATTAACTAATACGCTATCCGTGTGATGCATGGAACTAATGAGAAATCGTATAATTAAAACAATAAATGAATATTGATTAGCAAAAAAAGGATTTTGAATATTAATATTAATTTTTAAAGATTTTATTTCACTCGTTATATAATAGTTATCATTTTAGAGATTCGATTTAGAATTAATGAACACGAAAATTTAACATATTAAAAATCATCAGTAAATGTACTCACAAATTGTAAGCATGCGTCAACAAAACATAATAACTCGAACATGCTAAAACATACATGACATGTTTACTAAAAATATCCTTGCTATGACCACCACCACATCATCGGCTCACGCTCTACGCTCGACACCGTCACCTGAAAAATGGTTAGTGGGGGGCGTGAGCATAAATAATCCACGTGCTCCGCCGCAACCAGTACTGAAATATACAGCTAATATAATAACATATCATGACATCGGCATATATGCAAGTACTTACTGGATAGGCAGAAACGATATGATGATATTTATTTTACTAAAGATTAAACCTTCACCCAATAAACACTTAAATCGGCAAACTATCTATAGTTGCTATTAACTGACTGCCTATAACTGTTGTTCAGCTGACTGTCTATAATTTCTGCTCGACTGGATAACTATAACTGATGCTCAACTGGCTACTATAATGGGTGCTCGACTGGCTAACTATAATTGCTGCTCAACTGACTAACTATAACGACTGCTCAACTGACTAACTATAATTGCAACTCGCGAACTAAACATACATATGATATGATAAGCATATCCCAACCTAAGCATACATCTAATATGATAAAACACATCACAACTTAAGCATACATCTAATATAATATAACACATCACAACCTAAGCATACATCTAATATGATAGAACATATCACAAATGCGTATAAATAAGTATATTGTCTATAACTGCTGCTCAACTGTCCATCTCTAATAGCTGCTCAACTGACTGTATATAATTGCTGCTCAACTGACTGCTTAACAGGCGAGAAGGACACTAGGTCTTCACGCTCACGATAAGCAACTGTAGGACCGAATCTGTAGGTCGTTGCCCTTACTAGGGCAAAACTAACTTTTATACACTTCTAAGGCTGGAGTTTAACTCACAACTGTACTAGAGTCCTTGATACTAACTGGGAATTCAAATCACTTGGTTATGACGAAAGTTATCTCTAGATCAATGTCCCATAGGGAAGAATTATTCTAAGATCATCTGAAATTAGACTTAACTCAAGGCTACTCTAGAGTTCTTAATTCACTTAACTCAAAGTTGCACTAGAATTCTTATCTCAACTAGCGTTCGTGTAACACCCCACTTTGATTTTAAAGAAATTCCGGACTTTTAAATATCAGTGTAAAATTTTCAAAATCATTTTCGAAAATTCAATGGGTGTTAAACAACATTTTTCATAAC